ATATATATATAAACACCCATACATACGTTCTCTAATCTCTCTGTCTAGGGGTTTCTCTGAATCCAAGCAGGTACTGTAGTTTAAGAATTGCGTTCAAGTCTATAAAGTTCTCCTCTTCAAAAATTCGTTTGGGGTTTTTTTTCCACAGGCACCATGATGTTCAGCGCTACCTACGGGAAGGGTTTTTCGGAGTTCTGGGAATAGCAAGCCTGTATATGACCTCTTCATCGTATGGGATCAAAGCAAAGCCCTTGTCTTGCTTGTAACCTACTCTCACTCAACTAGAGTATACCATTGGCTTTTATCTATCCAGGTATATACTATATATTTACCCATTATATCTAGGTATATACCGTAGTCCATGGAAGAATCTTCTCCTTCAGGCCTGGTTCTTGGCTGTCTTGACTGCCTCCCTACAACCAAAAAAGCAACTGTCTGGTCAGCTGATTGTCGCTGTCTTGAATTTGACATTTGATTTTTCTTTCTTTCCTGAATTTGTTTTAAACAGATTCATGGTATATATTTTTCTTGTCTCTTTCTATTCCCCGTTAGGTTACACAGAGTCTTTGTTTCTTATATAATATTCCATAAAGGGAGGGGCTTTTTAGGCATGTACAATTCTTACGTCGCCGGTTGGAAATAGTTGTGAATAGTGAAGAATGCTACATTTTCATTAGTTAAAATGTTCTGCTCTTTTAGATAGTTATCCTTAATTGCAAAGCAAATATACTGTACTGTCAGTTTACCTTCTGCTCTACCTAAAGAGGTTTTCTTTCATTTGAGCCTCACTGCCGTTGCAGGGTTTGGGGCTGTCATAAGCTGTTGAGGGTTACACTCTTGCTTAAAACAAAGTGCACCATTTGGGCAGAGGTGGGGAAAGCCAGCGACTTGAAATCACTCAAGAGTGTTCAAAAAGCGGGAAAAGGATACTTTCTGGAATAACAATAAATACTCGTACAGTCTTCCTATCTATTAGTTTCAAATAACTCATCATAAATTTGGAGAACGCGCAAAGTTCTTAAATCTCGTATTGTTCTCTTGGCGTTTTGGTAAATGAAATTAATGAATTTAATTCGAAAGCTAACAAAGTACACGTTATTGGGATAGTAGATTAATTCAGATTCAATTAAGAATGAATAACACGCACTTTATTGGGAAATTACTTGGGTTACAACAGCTAACATACAAACATAGATATATGATCAAACAGACAAATATGCATACATACAAACAAAAGATTATCCCAAGATCAAAATAGTTTGAATTGTTTTACATATCAAGGCATCCCAACATCTGTCACATTGACCAAATTAAATATGCTCTTTTCAACTGCATAAAACGGATTTCTCTCCTGAGGAAATTAGAACCGAAAAGCAAAAAGAGATGCTTAAAATGTCTGTACATTGAAGAAACAGTGAAAATAAAATGGTGCGAAAACTTGTTTGGTTTCGTTTTCTTTGGCTTTTTAGTAAAATACATACAACTTTTTGTGTCTACCTGTTTCATTGTGCCTTTCTTTCAACATACTTAAGTTTTCCTGTTCTCTCTCTTTCTCTCTCTCTCTCTCTCTCTCTCTCTCTCTCTCTCTCTCTCTCTCTCTCTCTCTCTCTCTCTCTCTGTGTCTTTCTCTCTCTTGTGGTCTAGAGGTTAAGGTGTTCGCCTTTCATTGAATAGGTCTCGGGCTCGAATCCGGATAGCGTCGGAAATGTTTCTTCTCTACAATTGTTTTCTTTCATCTCCTTTCATGCTCTCTGGTAGTTTTCTGTCGTCTGCTTTCGTCTCCACTTTCTGCCCCCACTCCCTCACCTTCTTTGCCCCCTCTTCTGGCCTCCTGACTCAGTCTGCAGCCTTTCTACTGCTACTCCTAGGCTCCTTCTTACTGCTGTCTTTCAGCCACGCCCCTGATCTTATGGTAGGAAAAATCTACAC